GTTTCACCTTGTTTAATTTCGTAAAACATCTTCTTTCAGGAAAGCTTTGCCTTCCAAATATTAATTAAAAAAAACATTCGACAGATTAATTGATTTGCAAAATGGTTTGTTGCAGCCCTAGTAGTGACAGTAGGGTCGATCGTTAGATTCCTGTTCCTTTGTTATAAATTATCTGCCTAATCGCAGTTCAGTCTGGATGAAGTATAAATTTCTCAATGAAATTTTAATTCTTTGAACATCTAACTTTGTGTGATGTTACTATAAACAATCACATATTTATTTACATATATCAATATAAAACCTATGAACTGTAATATAAATCTTATGACTTGGTAGAGTTACATCTTTACATGGAGACCTATTGTTTAAAGCCTCATTAAAAAGCATTGACATATATCCAGTTTCTAAGGCTTCAGGTACTCATCCATTTAAGTCAATTTTATCATTTTATTTTGCTGATTCTGACTATGGTGCGGTTCAGATTACAAATTATCTTGAATAAGCAGTTAACTGATGTTACGCTCAAAATGTTAGATAGCTTTGGCAGCTCTATGTTAATGTGCTTCTTGTTCTATCTAGAATGGATGGGAAACGAGGCGGGGTATTTATTAAGACGTAAAGTTAGAGGAAGAAAGTATAAAAAGGCTCCGTTCTCCCTGCAGAAGGCGTGCTATGAATGTAGAGGAGGGTTCTATTAAACGTGTATATAGTCACATTGTATGCTTATAGCAAAAAGACCAAAATAAAGTTGATTGTAATCAAATAAGCCATATACTCCAAAGATCCATCCAGAGAGTGTTGTAATAGCCTTTATTTAGCCTAAATAGAACTCCAGCACCATTGCGCGGTTAGCTAACATAAACAGAGGCCTCAAGAAAGACCTAAACCAACACTAACAACATTAGCACTATTAGCTAGGACATGTATTCATGTATCTGTCACTTTAGCTCCAGCTTTAGTCTTCTCCAACGGTCAGACTGTTTTCCCATCACTAGAGTTTCATCCCTCTTGGAATCAAACCTCATCTTGAGCCTTTTTTAAACTTGATTTTAGACTCTTCTTTTTTTTTCTGCAACCATGCTGGAAGTTTCTCACTCGCTCTCCTCCATTGCTTCAGCTTATTGACAAATTGTTCTCCTGCACAGTGACCTCATCCCAGTCACATGTTGTTCTTTAATCATGCACAGAAAGGCTATATTTAACAACACACTGAGCAAAAACAAAGATTAACAGACAGAAATAACAAATACTGCAGGAGAAAGAAGCTGTAATTTGTCATAAAGATGTTTAAATAAAAAAAAAAATCACAAATAATGTGACCGTGTATCTTTAATATGGACGTTCAACTTATACAACAGAGATGTAAATTTATTCAGCTGCTATGTTTTATATTTATATCTTTGTTTACTTTCTGCTTATTTCTAACCCCCAACCAAAGGTCCATCTGGACTATTTGTCTCCTGTTTTTCTGCCTCCAGCTTTATAAACTGGGGAAAAAAATGATCTAGAAATAAGTAAAAATTTCTTTAATCAAGTTTATTTACCCTTAATTTGAGTAGGTAAAACATATGATTTGCCAATGGAATGAGTATTTACTCTTAAAATATGATAATTAGATAAAATGCACTTGAAATAAGACAATGCAATTGTTTTTTCTTATTCCAAAATGTAAATTATGTTGTTCTATTGGCAAAATGTCTCTTTTACCTCCTCAATTCAAGAACAAATGCACTTATTTTAAGAAATTTTTATTTTTTCCAGTGTAGCTTCTAATTTGTATTTTCCTCTGTTAAATAGAAGCAATATTTTTGTGTTCACTCGTCTGTCCTCCCGCCACAGGCCAGCGCTCAGAACATGAAAACCGGGGGAGGCGCTCTTCCTCGCACCAACCCCCCCACACAGAAGCCCCCCAGCCCGCCCATGTCGGGAAAAGGAACCCTTGGGTATGTAAGCTGCTGGGGTTGTTTAAAATCGTTCCTTTAATTCAGATGGTTTGCAACATTAAAGGTGATGCAGCTCCCCTGGAGCTCAACTGTTTTCCCTTTTCAGCAGGTCGGGCTGCATGTGTGGCGGGTTAACGCTACCTGAGCTCAGCTTAACTCGCCTCTTTCAGGTCATCATTAATAAAGCATCGTCAGTTCATGCTTTATTAAAGCCTGGATGTTACCTGGTGAAGGCTGAGAAACTGAAACTCTACTGTTGATATGTTCTCTTTAGGTACACCCTCCTTTTCTGTTTGTAAAAATCTTTTTCAAGGTTTGATTTTAATCTCAAAGATACTGAAACTAAAAACAGATTACACACTTTCTAAATCCCCAATATTCAGTTTCTCTTGGGAAAGAAATTGGATTTTTAACACTCAAAAGCAGGGATCCCCAAACTTTTTCCTGTGAGGGCCACATAACTTTTCCCTTCTCTGATGGGGGGCCGGGGTCAGTTTGTAACAGAAAAATTGTGACGATTGCAACAGTGCCTACATTTATGATGGGACTTTATGTCTTTATGACGGGATTCATAGAGTCTTCGCAGGTTATATTCTTTGAATACCGCCACCGCCTCTTGACAGATGAGACAGAAAGCCTTTTCTTTCCATTGAACAAAAAAAAATAATCGTTTGTCCAATTCAGGCTAAATGCGCTGCATTCTGAATCAATATTTCTCTTACCTAATCTTTTCGCCATTACTCCATTCTCTCTTTACGGAAGAGGATTAGGGCCATTCAAAAGAAAACAAAGACTATTCAATTCTGACTTTTTTTCACTCAGAATTCTGACTTTTGTCTAAGAAATTCTGAGATTAAATTCAGAATTCTGACTTTTTCCTCAGAATTCTGAGAATAAAGTCAGAATTAAATAGACTATTATTTTAATTTTTTTGAATGGACCTTATCCTCTTCCGTATCTCTTTGAGAGGGGCGGGTTTAAGATTTTTTGCTGGGAGACCTCAAAAGGTTGGAACATTGTCATGTTGTATGTGTGTATGAAATAGTTACTAATAGCTAATAATGAAAAAACTTCATAATTAAGGAACATTTTATTCCAAATGTCCAACTTTATTATCAAATACAAAAAAAAAACACACTTATATGAAAATAACTCTCTGGCATTGTTCAGGGGGCCGGACCAAATGTGGAGTTGGGCCGGATGCGGCCCGCGGGCCGTAGTTTGGGGACCACTGCTCAAAAGTGTCTTTTTATGAGCCCTGACATTGATCCACCCCTTTTATAATCCACAGGATGGAAAACCTAAAGAAAAAAGGCAGTTTAGAGGAAAATTAAGTGGAAGGAAAAAAAAAAATCAAACTTACAAAATCT